CAGGCATCCTACACCTTCCTCGCCATCACTTTCAGATCACCTGTTGTTTTCTTGTTAGGGGGTTTGTTAACACCCACTTCCAACCCTCCTGCCCATTCCCCCTCTCCCCCAAACCATCGATCTTGTTTTCTCCTCCGGATTGTTTATCCTGCCTATCTGGATAAATAATGCAGTGACAATAATAAGCACAAAAACAAGGCAGAGCAAAACATAACAAAAGAAAACTGAAAAACCAAACATTAAAAACCCAACAAAACAGAAAAGCCTATAAATAGTTCCAGGTCTGTTTGTTGACCTTTAGGCAATGTTTTCCGTTGGAGTCTGATGGGGTGCCATGCCCTGGTCCCAAAGTCTATTTTTGGTATTCCCCAGGGACTTCATTTTATCTTTTTTTCCACCCATTGAAATTAGCTTAATGTCAGAGAGGAGACATTCCAAAGGACACACTCATAGGACTTGGGCAGACTGTGATTACATCAAAGACACACCACTAGATCAGTGAGGATGAAGGGGAAAGGAAGAAACATTAGAGTTAATTCATCCCACTATTTAGATTGGTAGTGGCGTAGGAAATAAACTCTAGATTGAGTCAAATTATGCTGATTTCAAGGTGATAATAGAACACTTATGAAGAAATGTAGAATAGGAAACTACATGTTGGATTTAATGTTAGACATTTGTTATGATTATAGATAAAACAGTTAAAGGTACAGTCTAAGAATTCTTTCATAACTGAATAAGATGAGTAAGCCTCATCAGAGAAAGAATTAAGGCAGAACCACATTAACATATAAGCAATTCAGGTTTCTCTCTTTTCACACTCATGTATTGTTTACATTGTATCACATACATTGGAACTCTTGTGAGGTAGGATTTTTTTTTTTTAAGATTAAAGACCTCAGTCATTTCTCACCAAAGTAGGATGTAGAATATTCTGTTAAGACCAGTTGTCCTAAGGGTCCTGTGAGATGATGGTTATGACACCCCATGTCCAGCGTCTCATTCTCAAGGTGTTCAGTTATAGCTAAGTTTTCAAACTATGCCCCTATAAGTTCTATTGTATTCCTGGATATATCTGTAGCATATACATCCATTTGAAGAGACATCCTCTGTAAAACCTGTATATGCATATGCTGTACTGAGATATATAATTCCACATGTAGTTTACATATCTAATTAACCACTCATAACATTATTGCAGCATTGTATGTTGTATATTTAATAGTACTGTTGTCTTTTCTGTGTGTGATGTCAGTTTTATTATTTATTCCATTTTTAAATTGTGAAATCACTTATAGGCCATTTATAACCAGGCCATTACCCCTACTGAATTTTTTCTTTTACCACCCACATTTCCCCCATCCCCAGCTCAAAACCTCTCACATGGATAACACTCTGGTTTTAGTCCACAAGGTAGATACTTTGGTCACATCACTGATTGAAGCTGAACACGAGATGTTGCCGATTCACCCAAAAGGGTTTTTTAATCAGCCCATTTGGGTGGCTCAGTGAATCACTGGCAAAACGCTCAACTGAGTGCTTTTAAAAGCGGGCTTACTGTGGTTTTTCACTTCTTCCAGTGTCTTCCTTTGACCTATTAATGTTGTACTGATTATATAATGCTTTACGTCACTGAATACATCATATCAAAAAAACCCTCAAAATTTATTGCTATCTTCATCTACTCAGATCCACAGCCACCCTATAGGATGAGGATTACCCCTATGGGTTTCCAAGACAGTAACTCTTTATAGGAGAAAGCCTTGTCTTTCTCCAATGCAATGACTGGTGAACTTCTCAATCTGTGATTAGCAGCCCAACTCTTAATCACTGTATCAGGGCTCCACTATCTAGCTACTGGTCCTCCCCAATCCTTGGTAATCAAATAACTTTTTTTTTTCTTCTGTGTGTAAACCTTGACTTTCTCCTCTTGTTCCCTTTTACTTCCTCCTATTAACCACTAAAAACAAAGTGAAAAACTGTTCTGGACATTTTACTATGGTGGCTTCATAAAGTATTTGTCCTTTTGTGATTAGCTAATTTCACCCACATAATGTCCTCCAGGTCATTTTGTTGTGAAACATTAACTGAGCATTTAATCCACTGGACCACCAGAGCTCCTTCACAATCTCTATAAAGGTAAATAATCTCTGCTTGTAAAGTCAGAATAAGATTAAAGAAAAACACTGTTTTAAGTTTATAAACACTTAGTTCAAATTTCTCTAATAAAACACAAATACCAATGATACTTAGAAGAGGTATCATTCATGTTAAAATGGAAAATTTGAATTATTTTAAAATTCAGTATAATCACACTCAACTTTTCAAAGATTTAGATCAAATGGTTCCTGTGAATTTTCTCATACACTTATAGGGTGATTAGTCCTAGATTAAGTAACATAGAGTCATTCAAGAAAATGTTTCTCAAATGTACAAATGTGTTTGACACAATGGATGTATGTAAGGATTGTGATTTAATATGATTTAGAAAAACAAAAAAATATAGGCATTTGGAGAAAAAAAAATGTTTCTAAGGAAACAAAGTTCTATTCTGGGATGTCAACACTTCTTTTGGAAATGACCCTTTAAAATACAAAACAAAACAACTCCCCCCCATCACTTGGGCCACAATGGGTCCAGTGGCTTGGGGCTGAATTTTTACACAAAGAGAGAGGGAAATAAAGGTTAAGGTAGTATAAATCCAATCAGTTTTGGAAAATGTGACCTTTGGCTGCTTTTGTTAGGGTCTAGTTCTCAAGTTAACACTTTTCCTTTTAATCAGAAAGCACAGATACTTTGCATTCATGCACCTATTGCCTTCAAAGGTAGTTATGTGGGAGGGAAGGAAAAATGAATTTTCCTCTACTTTTGCATGTGAGGTATGCAAATAGCTCTTTTATGATTTTCACTACTCTTGAGAGGTAGGGCAGAAAAAATAAGGTATCCTCCCAAGATATTGTCTATATATACCTTTTCATCTTCTTCCCAATGGAAAGACAATGCCTTAACTTTAGTGTTAGGGCACACAAATGACATCAGCATGAAAAAATAGAAATGGATTTGGGTTGTTGTTAGGTATCCCATGTCTATTTGTAACTCACACCATGTGACACAGATTTCTCATAGGGTTTTCTAGGTCTTTTTCCCATGAGGTCTGCTGGGTAGGTGTGTACTGCCAATTTTAAGTTATCACCTGAGTGCTTAACTGTTGTGCCACCACAACTCCTTAGATTTGAAGGTGAATATTAGAAAGTGTAGGCTCTCAAGTTAAGGCATAAAATTTGTGAGGTGAGGAGAGGTGGGGGGGAGGAAAGGACTAGATTTTATTGCTTATCACTATTAACTTTTACAGATTTCAGTAAGAGGATTTTAAGAGAGGAACTTGAGAAATTCTGAGTAACAGGGGTTCCTGTGGTCTCTGGTCCAGCTAGTTACAGAAACTAGTCCATAGTACTACTGTCTTACAACTGGATGAATTGGGAACTGTCCATATAGTGCAGTTAGGAAACATTTAGATAAAGATTTCTGGATGCTAGTCTTCTTTATTGACAGAACCAATAGAACATTCATTGTAGTAGGACAGAGTAGATCCCTGTATCCCACTAGCAGCACATTCTGACATCCAATTCAGACCTATTTCAATGTGGATTCTTTCCATCTTTTCAAGTTTATACTGGGTAATTATCTGTACAGAGGGTTTTAAATTGAAAAACTTGATTCACATCTTTACTTATTCACTTAGTTTTTTTGAGACTAAGCACTATTGGAGCAAATATTTTAGAAGATAAAATACAAATAACAAAAATAAGTTATCAGGCCTAATTAAAATGGCTTAATATCATTCATTTTTTTCTCTGAACATTTTACTTAAATGTTTTATTAGCATTGTTAGTTCAGGGTTCCCACCTCGTGCATCAATTTGTTTATAAGCTTTAGATTCAAGCTCTTTCAGAGTATTCTGAGTGTATTCAAAAGAACCTACATTCTCAAGATAATGTACACAGTATTTTTTAACATCTACATTTTCGGTTCTCTGGCGCAAGATATTCTGCACCTGGGTGCTCTCAGGCCTTGACCGAATAGCATGAATAGTGGGAAATGAGAACTTTCCTTCAGTTAGATCTTCACAAAAGCTTTTGTTTTCACTATATTCGTTGGAGTGTAGATTAGCATAGTCATCCCTAATTTGGAAAAAGAGCCCAAGTGTATTAAGTAGAGGCTTTAAATCTTCTTTGTAATCAGAAAACAATTGCATGAGACCTACAGCTAATCCAAACAGTCCACCAGTCTTTTGAAGGACCATAGCTTTATAGTCTTCTTCAGTGGGACAAGTGTAATTATCCCTCCAGTATATATCTAGGCCTTGTCCCTGATGGAGTTCTAAAAGTTGGCGAGTAAAAAGTTTCACTGCATCTGGGTGATCAAGGGTCAAGACTTTTTCTAAACCTAGAAAATATACATAATTAGCAGAATTGATGACAGACGGAATCCCATAGATGCTATGAGCCACTGGAAAGCCACGTCGAAGTTTAGAGTTGTCTTCGATATCATCAATAAGTAAACTGGCATTATGTAACATTTCTGTTACTTCAATGATAACCTAAAAAAAGAGACAATTGAAGACTTTCTTATTCTTTGAACTTTCCAAAACAGTTTGTAAATACAAAATCATCATAATAGATTATAAAAGCTTCAAGTATCATTTTTTTTACAATGGATGATTATTTCTCACTCAAAAGCTGTTGAGTCTATTCTGATTCATAACAACTCTTTGAGACAGAGTAGAGCTGCTAATGTGGGTTGCTGAGACGGAACATCTTTAAGGGAGTAGAAAACCTCATCTTTCTTCCATGGAGCAAACTTTCTTCCATGGTTGCAAACTGATGACACTGTGATTAGCAGCCCAAGGCAGAACCCACTATGCAACCAGGCCTCCTGAATCCTTATTTAGCAAACTCAATACAAAATATTTTACACACATATTAAACTGAGTCAAGAGCTACGAGCATTTTTTAGATGACATCTATTAATATATGATGATTAAGACAAAGATTGGAATTGCCTAAATACCTGTAGTTTGTCTTCTGGAACTTTCAGCCAATGATTAAAAGCTTGTGAAAGCTTGGTTCTTATTTGTTTACCTATAATAAAAAAATAAGATTTTAAGACAAAATGAAGATAATATTATCTATTAAAAGTATTAATTTAGTTATGTATTTTACTTTATTTTATTTTTAATTTAGTTATTTAAACTTATCCATTTAATAATTTAAAAATTTATGTTTCACCCACAACCACTGTAGAAAAGCAAACACTTTTAATAATTAAGGCAAGCTAAAGAAACTCCGAAGTTGGTTTACAAACCCAGTCCTTTTTCCCCCAACAATTTTAATGGCATATAAATCATATATAATTGAAGAGTTCAATCCCATCACAAAGAGTTGTACAATCATAACCACAATTTAATCTTAGAACATTTTCTTGTACCCTTCATTTTTGGCTCCCCATTCCCCCTCAACCTCCTCCTGTCATACCTCCAAGGAACCATCTATTGACTGTCTCTAGAGAGTTCCCCTTTTAGCTTTTACCTGGCCAACCAACTGAAGAGATGCTTATCTGTGCCCATTTAAAACAGAATAAAAAAATTAAAAATAAATAAGACAGAATGGAGAAATTATCAAACAGTATCATTAACATTTATACAAGTAAAATTTTGCTGAACATTAAAAAAAGAAGGTTGTAATAGTACATTGACAGCATGCTGCAAGAAATTCAAGGAGGATTCAGAAAAAGATGTGGGGCAGGAGATGAAATTTCTGGCACGAGATGGATCTTGAATGGTAGTAGAAAATATCAGAAAGATGTTTACTTGTCTTACATTGACTAGGCAAAGTCATTCATTAGACTGTATGATCAGAACAAATTATGGACAACATGGCAAAGTATAGGAATTTCAGAACATGTAATTGTGCTCACAATGTAGAACCCACCTGTACATAGAGCAAGAGTTAGTTTGAACAGAACAAAGGGACAATAAATAAATTCAGAAAAGGAATTAAGAAACATGAGAAAATAAGAAATGACTGCAGTTCAGCAGTGATTATGGTGCACTTTTTCGTTATTTACGCTGGCTATTTCTCTACTTTCCTGAAACAATTTTTAGGGTTTTTTGGTACCAGAAGAGGCAGGCAGTGTTTTCACAAAAGCTAAATATATGTACAGTGATTTGAAATAAATGAAGGTGGGTTAGACAGGGTTCTCTAGAGATATAAAACCAAATTGCTGATAATTTAATATATTTATTTATAAAGCTAATTAGATATATAACAAGAAATGAACTGTTAAATCATAAACATAAATATATTATACAAGAAATAAACAGTTAAACTATAAAGCACTACAAATGGCTCAACGCAACTCACTCCTGTGAGAGACTCGCAGTCCTTCAAGTCTAGTCTGCTGCCAGATCTTCCTCTATTTATAGAGAGAGCTAGGCTATGTCAGCACAGCAGCCAATCAGAAGGCAGGTCACCAACTGCCAGCCAGGTCACCAACTGCCAGTCCCCAGCTCCAGAGATGTCTTAAAGGGACCTCAACTTACAGCGACACAGTCCACAGGCTAGGCGTCCCACAGGTAGTGTAGCCTTTAAATTGAGGCACAGGACAAGCAAGGCAGCCGCACACTGGTCCAATGATCAAAGAGCGAGAGACAAGAAACGCAAAACTCACCAAGACATTTATCTCTCTGCCCTTCAGTTAATCCCACTTGTGTTTATTGGCCAGACTGGCACAATAAACTATCTCAGAAGGCAAGATAATATTAAGATTTATAAAATAGATAATTGAAAGAGAAGATTAGAATTAAATAAATAGAAGGCCAAATAAGTGAGCTTGAAGACAAATCTCTCAATATTAATCTGCTAGAGAAAGAATCTGATAAAAAAAAAACCCCAAAATTTGAAGAAACTTTAAGAATTACATGGGACACCATCAAGAGGGCTAACTTACATGTACTAAGAATTTTAGAACAGGGAGAAACAACAAAGAGGACAGAGAATTGTTGAAAAGTTTCTGGAAAAAAATTTCTCTAGCATCAAAAAAACAAAAAACAAAAACCCACTAGCATATATCCAAGAAGCTGAACGAATCCCCAAAAAGACAGATAAAGAAAATCACCAATATACATGATAATTGTACTCCCCAAAACCAAAGACAAGAAGAATATCCTGAGGGTAGCTTGGGAAAAATGAAGTTACCTACAAAGGAGACACAGTAAGACTAAAATCTTGTACAACTTTTAAATATATTTAAACCATTACATTGTATGGTATGTGAATTATATGCCAATAAGGAAAATGACTGAAATTTTATTTTACAGCAGAAATCATGCAGGCAAGATGACAATGGGATGACATATATAAAACTCTGAAAAACAACAACGGCTAGCCAAAAACTCAGCAAAACATTTCCTCAAACACAACACTGAAATTAAAATGTTTTCAGATGAACAAAAATTAGAGGAATTTGAAGAAAGCAGACCATCCTTACAAGAAATACTAAGGGGGGTTCTTTGGACAGAGAACCAAGAGCAGTAGACAATTAAGATTAACACACACAACAATACCACATAAAAGTCAATTTATAAACTGACAAATCCAAAGTAAAATAAACTTACAAGACGGAAAGTGGGAAACCACATGCATCAATTTATGACAAAGTCAATGATAAAGTAAAAAGATGAAACTTTTCCCAAGCACTTTTGGAGCCCGTTGTTACAAGCCATCACGTTGGTTCCAAGCAGTGACTTTATCTTTCCACAGTTCAAACATGACCAGTACTTCCTGGCCATGCACCATCCTCACAATTGTTTCTATGCTTGCAGCCAAGGTGTCAATCCATCTCTTTGAGGGCCTTCTTTGATTTTTGATGTCCCTCTATCCAACATGATGTCCTTCTCCAGGGACTGGTCTCTCCCGACAACATGTCCAAAATATGTAAGACAAAGTCTCATTATTCTTGCTTTCAAGGAGCACTCTGGCATACCGCTTCCAAGATAGACTGGTTTCTCATTTTAGCAGTCCATGGTACTTTCTTTTTTTTTTAGTCCATGGTACTTTCAATATTCTTTGCCAGCACCACAATTCAAATGCATAGATTCTTCTGAGTTCTTCCTTACTCAATTCAATGTCTGACTTTCATATGCATATGAGGTGACTGAAAATATGTTGGGCTGTCAGCTGCATGGTCACAGTTTGAAACTGGGCTTTCTACTCTCCTAAACAGGGGGATGCTATGAGTCAGCATTGACTCCTAAACAGTGAGTTTACACAAATTAAGGGTCCACAGCTTAGTATGCAAATGAGCTCTCTGTGGCCTTCTGAAAAGGAATTGGTGAGTTCCAAGTCTGATGGAAAGGTTATGCCTTGGAAATGATAAAGAGTTTGTGTATACATAACCAACACCACAGAGGTTTTTGAGACAGAAAGAAGCAGGAAGCAGCAGAAAGAAAAAGAAAGCAATAGAGAGAAACAAGGACAGTAAGTTTGGTTTCAGAGGTCTTGCTCAGCAGCTTTACCTAATGCAATCTTGTATCTGTTAAGAGACATTTTTGTTTTTTTAAATTGGAATTTAATACATATATGTTATCGTTCAAACATATCCAGTAGAATTATATAATTGCTACCACAATCAGTTTCGAAACATTCTTTCTTCTCGGGCTCCTTAGCAACTTGTCTATTGATCTTTTAATTGCTGATTTTTAAGCACTAATTGTGAATCCAAACATGATAAAATCCTTGACAATTTCAACTTTTTCTCCATTTATCATGATGTTACCTATTGGTCAAGTTGTGAGGATTTTGGTCTGCTTTACATTCAGTTATAATCCATATTGACGGATGCAATCCTTGATCTTCATCATGGGCTAAATTGATTTTCTGGGGTGGCACATTGATTAAAGTGCTTTATTTTCAACTGAAACGTCAGTGATTTGAATATACCACCTACTGAAGGGAGAAAGATGTAGCAGTTTGTTTCAATGAAGATTTTACAGCCTTAGGGCATATAATTAGCCACCAACATACTTTGGTTCGGGTCTGTTGCCTTGAGGGTGCACAACGAATGGTGGCTTGGGGCTACTATACACTTATAATTTTAATATCCTCCTAGCTTCTCCCTTCACAGTTCTAACCCACCAGCTGCTTTGAGGAAGAAAGGCGGGGCTTTCTGCTCTCACAAAGAGTTATAGTCTTGCAAACTTGCAGGGGCAGTATCTTTAAGGGTTACTATGAGTTGGCATAGAAAGAATGGCAATGAGTTTGTTTTGCCGTACTATGACCTGTATTAATCTGGTAGGTATGACTCTACTGTTGTGACTGTTATTGAAAGTTGTGCCCTATCACCAACTCCCATTGTTCATTAAATAATGTCCAGTCACTTAAGAATTTAATCTGAACAGGTCAACAATTCATGTATTTGGTTCATAAGTTCATTTATACTGGTGTAATTTCCTTTTCTTGAGTGTTTTAAATTCTTTACCACTGACTAAATTAATGACATTATCAACAGAATTTCCTTAGGGGGAAGATTGGTAATGTTCTCGAACATAAAATGAGAATAGTGTCTCGAAGGTGCACTACAGTCATAAATAAACCATAGATATATGAATGGATTTTGGGCTCCCTCTTAATTCAAGCCCCAATCTAAGAATAAGAAGTTCTTGTGACCTGGTGCTGTTTGAAGCTCATCCTCATGAAGAGATCACTAAAGAAATGGGTGCTATAGCAAAGTATGGTGAAGAAATGAGATGGTGGCTGGTTAAAAGGCAGGATATTGTTTGGAGTCTTAAAAGCTTGTCTTCAAACAAGCAGCCATCTAAGTGAAGTGTCAACAAGTCCATATGGAAGTAGCACACCAGCCGTGTGATCCAAGGATTGTAAATAATAAAATCCAAATCAGGAGGGAATGGTATCAGAGCTTAAATTGTGAACACCTGGTTTGCAGAAGGATATGGATGACAGTGAAAGTCCAAAATCTATCTGCAAGATTCCCAGGTGTATTAAGCCTCTGTTGAAATCTGTGACCTTAAGTGAGGGATGTGAATAGTTGTGTTATCAGACAAAGTTGATTATGGCAGAAGTATTTAAGTGTAATATCTTATTATTTTATCTCCTTTTTGATTCATTCTAAAGTTGTATCAGTTAAAAAAAAGCGAAGGAGAAAAAAATATGTGGATTAAGCCTCTAATGAACTCCCTCTGACCATAAACCAGGGACGTGAATAGCCTTGCTACCACACACAATGCATTGGAAAGTGTATTATTTCAGATAAAATTAGGTAAACATGTGGCACTTTATCTCCTTTTTTGCCCATTTTATATTTGTTCCAGTATTTGATATTTTCTACTTTTCAATTGAGGTTTTTTCTGTTTTAATCTGGTATTGTGCTAAAGATTTTTTTTTTTTTTGCTTTTTAATGTTTTTCTGTATTTGAAATCCAGCATAGGTAAATCTATAAAGGTAGTGACTGGATTAATGTTTCCTTGGGGATATAGCATGGGAGGTTGGGAGAAATGGGGAGTTAATAACAAGAACAAGAAAGAAGAAAACATTTTAAAACTGATTGTGGTAATGATGTACACCCCTTCTTAGGATGACTAAACGATTGATTTGTGAATTAGAGGCCAATAACACTGTTACATCATAAAAATTAAGTTTACATAAGCAAATGTGGTGAAGACAGCGGATGGTGCCTGGCTAGCAAAAGATATAGTGTCTGGGGTCATAAAGGCTTGAAGTTAAACAAGCAGTCATCTAGCAGAGAAGCAACAAGCCTACATAGACGAAGCACACTACCCCGTACAATCATAATGTGTCTTCAGGAGCGGGTAACAGGCATCAGAATGCCCAAAACAAACAAACAAACAAAAACCCATATTATTGAGAACAAAGGGGTCAGAGCAGAGACCCAAAGCCCAACTGTACACAATGGGGCATCCCCTCACAGAAGGGTCAGAGGAAGGGGTGAGTCAACTAGGGCGCAGTATTGCACCAATGATAACACACAATATTCCTCTGGCTCCTTGAGTCTTCTTCACCCCCTACTATCATGGCCCCAGTCCTGCCTTTCACTGCAGGGCATATGCACAGCTACAGATGAGAGATAAGAGCTCACGGCACATAGAATCCAGGAATAAGAATGGGAGTAGCGATACCAGAAAGGTATGGGGAATGTGCGGAAGAAGGGAGAACCAATCACAATGATTGACATATAACCGCCCCACCCCCTTACAGGGGGATGAACAACAGACACTGTGGGGGAAGGGAGACAGTGGTCGGTGTAAGATATGAAAATAGTAATAATTTATCATTTATCAAGGGGTCACGTGTGGGGGAGGAGCTGACACCAGGTTTCAATAGAAAGTCAGTGTCTAAAAAAATAATGATGGCAACATATGTACAAATATGTTTGATATAACTGATGTATGGATTATTGTAAGCGTCACCAATAACATGATCTTTTAATTAAAAAATTAAATTAAAAAAAATGAAAATTAAATTTAAAAAGCTTCACACCCTTGGACACCAGATGGGCCAGTTCTACTTTGTTCTATAGGGTGCCAGCAGTTGGAATTGACTCTGTAACAGTGGGTCAATGGGTTTTCTTATCATTTTTATTGTGAAAAAGAATACTCAAAAGTCCAATGCTTATAAATGAATTTGAAAACAACACTCCCCCCACCCATCAGATTTGGCAGGTGCTACTATAAGAAATCTTGTCTGGTGACAGAGCCTTACATAGAAATAATGTGGATTATGTTTCCAAAGCAGTCCCTGGATAGTGCAAGTTAAATGTGTGACTAGCAGCCAAAAGGGCGGTAGCTAGAATCTATACAGAAATGCCCTAGGAGGCAGCCTGGTGAGCTGCTTCCGTAAAGTCACAGCCTTGAAAACCGATGGTGCAGTTTCATATACATGGGGTCACCCTGAGTTGGAATGGACTCAGGGAGAACTAAGAACATGTTTCCCAATATTGTGGAATAGAAGCATTACTATTTTCACTCAACGAAGCTAAGTGTATAAGACATGCGGTGTGTGAGATAGTGGAAGATAAGTGTTTTGGTTTTTTTGGTATACAAAGTTGCATAACTTCCCCATATACCTAAAAAAATAATAGGAATACCGTATATGCTTGTGTATAAGCCTGAGTTTTTCAGCACATTTTTAATGTAGTTTTTGTGGTAAAATTAGGTGCCTTGGCTGATATACAGGTCAGCTTATAATTGAGTATATACAGTATGTGGTATCCATAAAGGGAAAAACAAGTCTTTAATAAGGCACCAGAATATTTTAATTTTTTAAGTTATGTTCTATACTTGGAAATTTTCTAAAATGTACATAAAAATTTTTCTAAAAGGTGCTAATATTTTAATGACTTGGTATATTAAGCAAACTACTATATATATGGACTGTAACTGAATGGCTACCTGGTAATTGAAGCAAGTACTTGTAGGGTTCTAGAAGAATTCTTTGGACTGTTTCTTGAGCCATCTCCATTGCTTTTAAATTTCAAAGCAGATCTGTTCACAGGAGAAACATAAAAAAGGTATAATCAACCAAATTATATTCAGGAATTTTTATCTTCCATGCTTTAGAAAGGGAGATCATTAGTTCAGGCTTAAAATTATACACGGACAAACCTTAAAAGCATCATCTTAAGCAAAAGAAGCCAGTCACAAAAGACTCAATTTTTATGTGATTTCATATACATTAAATATTGAGAATAAGTAAGTCTAGAGAGACATAAAGTAGATTAGTGGCTGCCTAGGACTGTGGAGGCTAAGGAATAAAGGAGTGATTGCTAGTGGCCTTCCTCCACCCATCCTTTTCCCATGTAAACTGTGTTAAAATACTAGAGGACCTCAGATAGTTCAATGGAAAAACCCCAGTACCTTTGAATTTTCTTACAAACTTTTAAAAACTCATTGACATATATATCATTTACCATTTTACATTTTGAGTTTACAATGCAGTATGCTAAGTATATCTATGCAATAACCACCATTACTATTTCCAGATCTTTCTTATGATTCCAAGAAGCCCTGGCGGCACAGGGGTTAAAGTGGTCTGTGATGAATCAAGATTTCTGTGCTTCAAATCCACTAGCTCAGTAGTTCTCGACTTTCCTAATGTCACAACCCTTTAATACAGCTCCTCATGTTGTGGTGACCCCAAACCATAAAAATTATTTTCGTTGCTACTTCATAACTGTAATTTTGTCATTCGACCCCCAAAAGGGTTGTGACCCACAGATTGAGAACTGCTGCACTAGCTGCTCCAAGGGAGAAAGACGTGGCAGTTGGCTTCTACAAATATTTACAACCTTGGAAACCCTATGGTGGAGTTCTACTGTCTTTTAGAATTGCCAGGAGTTGGTCCCACAGACTTATGAGTCACTTTTAGAGGAGAGGCTTAGTTTAGCTTTATCTCTCTCTCACACACACACACAACTCTCTCTCTCTCTCTCCCCATTAAGCAATAGCTCCTTTCTTCTTCTTTTAAACATCTGGTAAGCCCAGGTGTACTCTGTCTCTATAATTTTGCTTATCTTAAATAAGTGGAATTAAATAACACGTTGGTCTGCATCTAGCTTATTGCACTTACCAATAATGCACTTAGCATCCAAGGTAGAGCATATATTCATTCCTTTTCATGGCTGTATAATATCCCATCGTATGCATGTACATTTTATTTATTTACTGATAAACATTTGGGCTGTAGTTCTATGTTTTGACTGTTTAATGTTATGACTATAGCATGATTTAAAAATCAATAAAAGTTTTTGCCAGAGTATTATTCTCTCATCATACTCATTCAATCTGTATGCGGAGCAAATAATCTGAGAAGCTGGATTACATGAAGAATGAGGAGCTGATACCAAGGGCTCAAGTAGAAAGAAAATGTTTTGAGAATGATGGCAACAAATGTACAAATGTGCTTGACACAAGGGATGGATGTATGGATTGTGATGAGTTGTATGAACCACCAATAAAATGATTTAAAAAAGAAAAAAAGAACAAATAAATCTGTCTTGCAAGAGGAACCACCACAATGCTCTTTAGAGGCAAGGATGGTAAGAGGTCATCTTACACACTTTGGACATGTTAAGATAAACCAGCCCCTGCAGGATATCATGCTTGGTAAAGTAGTGGGGCAGCAAAAAAGAGGAAGACCCTCAAACACGACAAGATGGATAAACACAGTATCTGCATCAACAGGCTCAAAAAACAATTTTGAGGATGGTACAAGACAGGGTTGAAGGCTGTGTTTTACTCTGTTGTACACTGGGTCTCTATGAGTCAGACTAAACTCAACAGCACCTAACAACAATGAATACTGGTGGACCTGGATGTGCTTGAATCCGTTTTCACGTCTTTTGAATGTATTAACAGTGAATTTGCTTGCCTATAATTCTATGTTTATCATGAATTGCCACACTTTCCCACATTTACATTCCCATCAGCAGTGCACAAAGGTTCCAATCTCTCCACATCCTCATAACATTTATTTTTACTGATGATAGCCCTAGTGGCTGTGACGTGGTTTAGTGATTCTTTTGAGGAAGGGAGGACCAAAATGCTGTAAAACTTGAGACTTAAGATGGTTATGAATATACAAAAAAAATACTTAATTGTACACTTTGAGTGAATTGTATGGTACGTAAATTATATTTAAGAAAATTATTTTTCAAGTGAATACATTGGGATAAGTATTTTCCTTTTTTTTTAGCTGGTTTCTTTATGCCTTTCCTATTTTAATGACTCATAAAAGATGTGAATTATTGCTATCAAACACATGTTAAAAAGAAAAACTACAGAATCAGTGATTTCTACATTTGATTATACATACTATGTATACACTTTCCCCTGAGCAATAAGATGGATATGCTTTATATATTTAAATTTTAAGTGTCAGAGGAAACAATGTATTTTCTCTACTATCAATCCATTTCAGATATTCTGGTTTAAGCATGTATGAATTTGGATGCAATTACATTAAAAAAAAATTTCTCCGGTAACGCTATATTATTCTTTCACATTTACATTTCCTAAAATATTGCTTGGAATCATCTACATGGCAGTGAGTTTAGTTTTTGGTTTTGGGTGAATTTCTATTGCTTCTTTGTAGCCATATTTTTCCATTTGTCCTCATATTAAGGTTCTAATTCCTACTGCTTTGCTATCTTACATACCTTTTGGGTGTTTCACCTTTGCCACCAACACTTTGCTATTTCAACTATGACTTAATGTCAATGATCACTGCTGCTTGCTTAATCAGTGAAAGCTGCACATAAGATATACCACACAACTAAATGTAGTCTAGTACCTAATTGCAGTTCAGGTTTAATGCTATCAGGTTACACATTATGAAATTTTAGAAAGAGACCTTAGAGCTAATAAAGTATATCGGCTTATCTGCTTGAGCAAGGGCCACTTCTCAAAACTTTTAAATCGTTTTATTAGGGGTTCATACAACTCTTATCACAATCCATACATACATCAATTGTGTAAAGCACATTTGTACAAGGGCCACTTTTTAAATAAAAAAAATGAAGTTCATATATTTGTGTTTTGGCTACTCAAAGGTCTTTTAATGACTCATTAAATCTGGGCTGAGGACGAGTAATCTTTAGTTTCAACATGATGATGTCACAGGCTGTGATTCTGATGCGTATGCCTGATAAAGGGTTAAGAAAGAAACTCACTGTTATTGCCAAATTCATTGCCACGAGTAGATTCCAACTCCCTGATGGTATAGTAGGTTAAGTGTTGGATTGTTAACCTCAAGGCCACCAGTTCAACTTCACCAACTGTTCTATGGGAGAAAAATGAGGTTTTCTATTCCTCTAGAAGTTATTGTCGCTGAAACCCACAGGGGTAGTTCTATTCTGGTCTATGAGGTTGCTATGCAGACAGGATGATTTAATAGGTTACTTCCACTATACCATGAGTCTATGGATGGTACAAACAGGTAAACACTGGGCTGCTAAAGGTTGCAGGTTTCAACTCACCTAGAAGCACCTCGGAAGAAAAGCCTGCCAATATGCTTCTGAAAAGTCGCGGCTAAGAAAACTCTGGGAAGAACAGTTATATTCGGAAATATAAAGAGTCCACATCTGTCGGAATTGACTTGATGTCAACTAATTCTGGTCCACCATATGGTAATATGTTTCGCTAACCAGAAAGGCCTGAGGTTTGAATTCACACAGAAATTCCTCGAAGAAAGGCCTGGTAATCAGCCACTGACAAACCCATGGAGCACATCTCTAATGCAGTACATAGGAGATTCACCATGAATCATAGCTGACTCGATGGCCACTGGCTTTTCTATCACACAACTATATAATTGAAGGTGTGGTAATGTTTTTCATGAGACTCAGGATGTGTTTTTTAAATTCTGAAGTTTTATTAATTTCATGCTCAGTACTAAAAGCAACCTGCATAGTCCACTCAACTGAGACTATCACCTCATCCATAATTCACACTCTCTGAGATAAGGCAATTCTAGTTCTGTTTTTCTTTCCTGGAATAAATTAGAAAATGTAAAATACACTTAGCAGGGCAGAACTCATCTTGTGCCAATATGCAAGCCTTTGGGCCTATGTCAGTATGAGAGTATATGGGTTCATATTTATGCAGGTAATCAAACTTGAAAATTGGTGAATAAAGTGAGAGTGACCACAAAAACAAAACCACTCCCCAAATATTATTAATGCTGGTATTTACTTTATTAAGAGATCAGTAGAGCTAAGACCATTTTGTCATTGTTGGGTGATACCGGGTTCGTCTGGACGCAGCAACCCTGTGTAAAATAGAACAAAACACTACTTGGTCCTGCTCCATTCTTCTAATTTTTCTGTTTGAGCCCATGGTTACAGCCACTGTGTCAATCCATCTCATTGAGGGTCTTTTTACCAAGCATGATGACTTTCTCTACAGATTGGTCCCTCCTTATGACATGTGCAAAGGATACAAAATAAAGTCTTGCCACCCTCACTCCTAATGAGCATTCTGGATGTACTTCTTCCAAGACAGATTCAAAGTACCATGGCTTGAGTCAGGTGTAGGAATTCTGGTTGAAATGTCAGGATTTGACTGTTAACTACCAGGTCAGTGGTTCAAATCCACCACCAACTTTGTGAAAGAGTCTATCCAATTCTGTAAAGATCGCTATCTTGAAAACCCTATATAGGGTTGCTTTGAGTCACATTGACTTTGATGTCAGGGGTTTTGGTTAGCTGAACTTAAGTCCTCAAACTGACATCTTTGTATGTGTTTAGCACTTTAAAGATGCCTTTTACAAAGAACTCTGGTGACACTGTCAGGTAATCATTGGATTTGCTAACTGTAAGGTTGGTGGTGTGAACCCATCAGTCACTGCACAGTAAATGCATGAAATTATGTTCCCATAAAGATTTACCGTCTCCAAAACCCTATGCAGGATAGGTATGAGTTGAAATCTACTTGATGGCAGTGGACAGGGGGGTTGCATTAGACTGGTCTGATGCAATGGCATCACTTGTTTTTTTGATAGCTGCTTCCTTGGGTACTGATTGTGGATCCAAGAACTACCCACCAACCCAAACCCCAAATCACTATGAAGTCAATTATGAACTGCAGCAACTCCATGTAGGGTTTTTTAGGCTGTAAATCTTTATGGAAGCAGATAGCCTTGTTTTTCTTACAAGGTGTGATTGGTGAGTTTGAATCTGCAACCCTGTGATTGGGAGGCCAACACTTAACTGTGAGCACCATGACTTAAGTAGTGAAAATTAGCTATTTAATGTTTCTTGATACAAGGGTAACACGGGTTAAACACATTACCACCTCTATCACATATTAGTGATGGAATGAATTATCTAACATGCAACAGGAGAAAAGAATGAAATACAAGCAGTCCACAGGTTCAAATCTTAACTCATAGACAACTGGACAACACATGAATAACAAACAAAAAACCTCCCACCCCATAGTGATTGTATAGGGCATGATAGAACTGCACCTATGAGTTTCCAGATTGTGACTCTATGGGAGTAGGCAGCATTGTCTTTCTCCCTTGATGTGGCTAGTGGTTTAGAACTGCTGACCTTGCAGTTAGTAACCACTATGTCACCAGGGCTCCTTTTTGGACAGTAGATACCTTTCCTTTAATGTTATGTAAGTATGTGGTCACTTTTAAATGGTTAAACCAACCCCAACCTTACTAACAACAAATTCATCATTACAATCACCTTAACTTGCTGCACATGCCTTTAAATGATTGAAAAGGGTTTCAGCAATTTTTTTTGCACTAAAGCTAAATAACAACAGTATGCACCTGTTCTGACTTAACTAGAAATCTGATTTAAACCAGAGCTTCTTAAGCTGAGGTCCATGATCTTATATACCTGAATGTGGGTGTGGCAAAAAATTCCTGCAATAAAAGGTTTCTGTATAAGTACTGAGCGCTAACCGATTGCACCACTGGAGCTCCAATAAAAGGTCTCTGAAAGTGCAAGGATCAAAAACTAATTCAAAATCAAACATGTAACGAATCTGAGGTTTTTCTGGCAGCATTTGCCCAAGTTGCATCCTGTGACTTCACTGTAGCTTTGGTTATGAATACACAACATGCACTCAAAGCCCCCCAAATAGCACCAGAAATAGATGTTGTCCTTCAAAACTATTAACTTCATTAAAAGTTGTGCTTGATTTGTATACTTTTTCGGGGGTATACTTATTTTCTATACCCAGGGTCATGTAAAAATGCTCGGGGCTAAAAGAGGCTAAGAATGGAAAAAGCCGAAGAAACCTCAAGTGTCAGAAGTGACTTGATAGCAATGGGGACTGAGAAATACAAGTGGAAATAAAAATCAGCAAGTTAAATATGAAGTTTAGAGTTGGGGACAGAGGTCCTGGACTAGAGATAGGTGTTACAGTGACTACATGAACATGTTGTGTGTGAAGATTCAAGGCTGTGAAGTCGCTTGATGCCACATGAGGAAGCACTGTCAGAAACATCTCTGGTTTGTTGGGTTTTTAATTTGAATTACTTTTTGGTCATTATGCATTCAGAATTTTTCACCATTCTTACATTCAGTTACATGACCCAGATTGGGTCTCGAACCCAAGCAGCTCTGAAAAAGATACTTAGGAATACTTATCATTATTAACTGTGATTGTGATTGGGACTGCCAACCACCAGGTGCTCTGCAGGAGAATGATGAGGCTTTGTACTCCCACAAAGAGTTAAAGTTTCAGAAACCCAGCGGGGCAGTTCTATTCTGCTCTAATAAGTCACCAGGAGTCTAAACTGACTCAATGGCAATGAGTCTGGGTTATTTTATGGCTACTATCTATGCAGTGTAAGGCAAGTAAGAGGCATGTGCTTAATAAAAACAAAACAAAACTAAAATTAAACTCATTGCCATTAAGTTAATGCTAACTCACAGCGAGCCTTTTAGGACAAGGTAGAACTGCTCTTGTGAGTTTCTGAGACCATAACTGTTCACCAGTGTACAAAGTCCCTTCTTTCTCATGCTGAAAAGTTGGTGATTTCAGACTGCTGATCTTGCTGATTGCAGGCAAACCCATACCACTATTCCATCATAGCAATGTCCTAAATTAATAATACAGACCTATCAAATAAATTGTTTTATGTTTCTGCACAGTGTAAAATATGTCACGGTTCAGAAAAATCTTTTGAGAATTTGATTAAGAATCTTCTGATAAATTGAAAAACAAAACAAAAAAACACTCCTTGTAAATATGTCCATACATAAAATATGCATATCCATGAACTCTAAATATAATTTCTCAAGGACTATGTAGTCCCTCAAATCCTTTACATGTACCTCTGATGAATATCTCCACCTATAGGATATTTCCATTTTTTAATGCTAAATAAATATTCATGTTTGCATAAGGACAGACATAAATTATATTGGTGTAACTTTTATTGATGGCAGATTACAAAATTTAAAGAGAAATAGCCCATATAGAATATTTCTACATCTACTTTGACTAGCAATTAGTATTAAATAAGCCGTAAGGGGAAAATGCTCAGAAAATATTTTGAAATCACTCAAAATTTCTTAACCTATACTTTTTGACAGGTGTCTAACTCTGTCATAGCTTACCTCATTCTTAAGAAATGAATGAAAGAAGCAAATGTTTCCTAAGCACAAAATAATCCCTTGGGTAAAAGATTATTGGGCAAAATTAAAGTAAAATTTGAAAAGCACCTTTCTTTACACTGTCCTCTATCTAATCCAGTTAGTAGTGATCTTTTTCCAAGAGCAAAATCATGTCTGTATCTTCTTCAAACACATTAGACTTACATAAATACCAATACAACCACATTTCAAGAAATCTTTTTTATTTCTGCCTGGATGATTAACATTTGTAAAGTTATGGATCCAGAAATCAGAACTAACCTTTGTATCGATTTTTAGTGTTCATTGATGTTATTTCCTTAACTTAAATACAAGTTAAACATTTAAAATTGTTTTCCGTTTTCAGAGACTTCTGAATACTCCTCAAAGTCAATCTTCCATTTCTAGAAGGATATTTATACAATTATCCTGAGTTGGAAAATATGAGGACTTCTATTTCTCTCTTTTCTTAACACAAATGGCTCCAATTTATCACAGTTGGAAAGCTCACCTACCATGTACCAAACTTAAAAGAGATATTAGCACTTTACAAGTATGCTACTAGTTTGTTTGTAGCGAACACTAGTGCAAGGGAGCCCTAGTTCCTTAGTGGTTATCCCCCTGCTATCTGCCAGGTCAGTAATTTGAAATTGTGGAATAAAGTACTTTACTCCCAAGAAGAGTTAGTTACATTCTTTGAAGAGTTAGTCTTGGAAACGCACAGGGTATATATCCTGCCCTGTGAGGCTGCTACAAATGGGAATCAACTCCATAGCAGTTTACTAGTGAAAGAGTCTGAAACATTCCTCACTTTCCTTAAAGAGTGAATCAATGGTCTTCAGCACAAACAACAGAATCTCTCTTGGGTTGGGATCCCAGCATTGACTAGCTGGTCTAATCCTCCACTCTTCAGTTAGCTATCTCAGCTAAATTTGACTCTGGGCTTAATTACTCTCTGGTATCAAGCTTATCCTACCCCTACTCGTGTTCCCTTCCAATGAACCTCTCCATCAGCTTATCAGGCATACTGTATTTTCTTTTCTTAACTCCTTCTAACCCGTCATCTCAAAGACGCTCTGGGTTAGGCATTGGGCAGCTAATAAAAGCAGTGGTTCAAATGCAGACTGCTCTCCAAAGATACACCAGAGACTCTCAAGGGTAGTAGTTCTACCCTGTCCAATAGACTGACATGAGTCCACTCGATGGCAGCGACCCGGGAGCCTGAACAACCCGTCAGCTTAATCCTCATTTCCTTTGAAGTCTTCCTTTACCTTCCTAAACTTCTCTACTACAAACTCTCACATCATGTAACTCTTCTTTGTAGCATCGCAGTAATTTTACACCAAATTGTGAGTTCATTTTGCTGAACCGCTTGTCTCCTTATACTAGGGTCCTTGAGGGTATGGAATTATCAGCTTTTCCACAAGATAAGCGCTCTACCAATACGTGGCCTGATCCAAGAACACATGGTATTTACAACTAGCGCGTTACAAGATCAAATGACTTGCACATAAAAAGTGTAAAAAACATCATGCAACGTTTTTGTTAATGGAAGGCGTCAGGTTTCAGAGTTGCTAAATACAGACAGAAATATGAAGCGCAGCGTGAATCCTTCAAACCCAAGAAGGGCTGAAGAAAATTGCTTGAGACATCTGGGAAAGGATTTAAATAATTTGGAGGAAGATTTTCAACAAAAGGTTGGTGAAAGAACCTCACATCTTTACTCCGCCTAGCACAGGGGCCGCAAGGTTCCTGCTTCCTTGTCCTCTCTTGCTCTCTTCAACCCAACTCTGCCAGGTCAACAGAGATGGAAAATGAAAACTAACCGTCCGGTTCAACATCCGGGTCCTCACCTCCCTTTTCTTTCTTCCCTCCCGGTCCCCCTCACCGGCCCCCCCGCCCCGCCCCCGGCACCACCGCTCACGGTTTAAGGAGGGTATCACGAGTCTCTCGCTACGGGTCCGGGAGTAGCTGTGCCCAGAATTAAGTTCCCACGGTACAGTTCAGGCCACAGTTCCTTCTGACGCCTACTTGAATCCCTCCCCTACTTCACAGAATTCTCCGCCCTCACAAGCCAGCGACGCCGCATTACTCGGTGCAAGAAAATACGCCATCCCGGTCACACTGCGCAGGCGTCAATGCCGCCTCCCCACCGCTTTGTCGCTCCCGCCCCTTTCCTCCCCCTCTCCTGGCCCCCGCAGTCGCGGGGCCTTGCGGGTATTGTAGTTCTTCTGCGCGAGGGGGCTGCGCACTGACATCGGGGAGTGGACTACATTTCCCAGAAAGCTTTAAGACGTAACTTTCTGTTTCCATAGAACTGGTGGGGAAATGGCGTCGATGTTTGTATCTCAGGGACCAATAAGAACAAAATACAGGCTTGCTCTAAAGAACTCTAACCAATAAGAGGCTGTCTAAAAGGCCATCCGGGAACGAGGTAGGGGAGGGGAGAAAAATCTAGGGGCGGGGAGCAAAGAGGGAAAAGGGGGGAGCTTGGGGTGGGTTGGGGGGAGCAATGTTTGCCCGTTAGTCGAGTCCGGAGTGAGCTGCTCGGGCCCTGGAACGGAGGAGGACTCTGAAGCTTGCCGCTACCACAGCCACCGCTTGGACCTTTGCCCGGAGGAAGCTACGGAAGATCAACGTTGCCGTCCTCTGGAGGGCTGGGCGATTGGGGGCCAGGACCTCTAGTCCGAGAGGGATTTTTCGTCTC